AGATAGGCTTGATATTCAGTCAAGAGAAAGTGCGGCTGTCTACCATCAGGTGTTCACTATATCTTTTTCTCTACTGCTAAGTACACTCTGATTCATTTCGAATGAATTGTGGTCTGTGAGCTTAAATTACGTAAACCAGAGTACAGGAATTTTCATCTTCCGGGAAGGAATAGGATAATACTCTGATAATACTCCGATTGGACTATTATAGTTCGAAACAGAAGTACATTGTTTAATCGATGTTTAGTGAAATACTTCACACTGGGTGCACTATATATATATATATATCCAGATCGTGTGATTCATGAACTATTCCCACGGCTCTTACTGTGGAACTATCGACTGAGATTTTGCATCCCCCTCTCCTTATATTCCTTATCGAGGTGAATTAACCATGTTTCATTATTCCACTTGGTGATTGGCACAATGACTAGCACACACGCACGCACACACTCTTTGCTCGGGGTCCGATATTCCAATCCCGTAGGGCATGCTAGATACCATCAACTGTTGAGCTCGAACCAGGCAGGGACACACTCAAGGGTAGTGCTTTTTGAGTTCATCTGTGATTGGACAAATTGGGGATTTGCGGTGAAGTATGGAAAACCATCAGTTGGAGTTGATTTCTCTTTTCTGTTTGCATGGAAAATGTCTGTTTCAATCTGACCTAATCTTCTAAATGAATCTATAATGGATTATTCTGCGTCATGATCCATAAGCTTCCGTTTTTTATCCCTGTCGGAACTCGTTAGTATTGCTTGCTATTTTATCTGTGTCTCTCTGAGATGTAACTGTAATCTCACCAAATTATCACCACGAGGGATGTGTGTTCGAATCCCACCACCACCGCCTGACTTTCCTCGTTGTGTCTTGAATGGCAGCTCTTTGACTGATCGCTTCTCCCAATCTTGAAAATTGTATCATTGTATATTCAATAAAAGGAAGTAAAATGAAAAGAATAAAAGAAAAATCGCATAAGACCATCACCTTGAGCGTCAAATAAAATTTAAAAAAATGTGATTATGGTCCCATTAGTTGAAAAAAAAGACCCCCACACTTGAGGATAGTGTAACGGGAAAACATGCGAGTGAAATAGCAGGACACGTAATTTTTTTCCGTATTACACACAATCATGAGCACTGTTTTTTTCTCCACAAAGTACTTACAGTCAAGATCCCTAGCTGAGAATTCAAACTCTGTTTTGACCGTCTGCGGATAACCATTAACTTCCTTCTTGTGGACGTTCCTCACGATAGGTTGATCTGATGATCTCGACGAGAAGCTGGTAACAGCGTTCAAAATGTTTGGTTATTAAATCATAATCAATCAATTTTGAAAAGCTCATAGTCTAAATATCTTACAAACTGTGAACAATAACTGATTCACTATCGATGGTTCAGTGTATCTCAACAAAGGCTCGAGGTTCGAGTGTTCCATTCCCGCCACGGCCGCACGTTGTCTATAGTTCCTGTGTTTCAAATGACAGTCGTTGAACAACTGCACCATCTGATTATAAATTAAATCAGTACGAGAAATCTTATTTTTACGTTCGAAACCGAGGGCGTGGAGCTGGGTGAAATCAACCGCCATTGTTAATTTTGTTGAGCTGAATACTTTTCAAGACACTCGTAACAGTGATGAAAATCAAATGTGTTGTTGAACCTGACTGTTCATCTTTCAGGATGTATCTTGTTGCAGAAATCTCATTTTATCCAGTCACCTATACATTCCGGGTTGAGTTTATTCCTCCCCACACCCTCCCGCTTACATTTTATTCACCCCGTGACGATGCATTTTGTAGTTTCGGGGATTGATGGCACCAAGTAATAGTTTTATTATTATTATTATTATTATTATTGTTTACGTTTGTCAAAATTGAGTTTCCCGAACCAAATTTATCTTTTTTAAAATGTATCTTTCACTTCTGTTCCCACCTTATTTCATTTTGTCATAATTCCCCCGTCTGCCTACTTCCTGTTCGGTCGCTTTAGAATGGCCTCACTCCAATGCATTTGGCCGCACAAGAAGATAGTTTGGCCGCAGCCGAGTTGCTCTACGCCGCCGGATCTGAACTGGATGCGCGCACCAAGGCGGGCTACACACCGCTGCATACCGCGTGCCATTTTGGTCAGGTAAGAGTTGTTTTGGATAGATTTCTTGCTATTCACTATGCCCTCTCCCAGATGAAATTGTGTTCTAGCTCATCGGTTTAAACATTCAACTGCAACCATATTGACCGAAATACTGTTTAAAGTACCCCAGTTCGTTCAAAATTCTCTCTGGAAACCGTATCCATGTCTATAAAAATTTGTGTTGCTAAGGGGTAATAGAGTTTCGCCAGATAAAATCCACCTTCTTTCATCTGATATTTCACAAAATCTATGCCAGAAAAGCGTTATAGAATGCAGGCAATTTTCTCTACTATTTAAATACACATCATAACTCTAATTGCAATTCCAGGGAAAGAAAATAAAAAATTTACACTTAAACACTATGAATTACAGTAAAAGAGGAAATCCCATAAATTACTTCCAGTTATTGAGTAGTTATTTTCAATCTGTGTAAATAATCTCGCTTCTTGTTTAACCGGGTATCACTTGTATTTGCTAGATGCGACTCGTTCTTTCGTGCAATTCCTTTGATTAATTACTTTCCTTATGCATCCCCGGGGACTCGAGGGACGAACGTGGATACTTTTTGTCCGGTGGTCAGGCAAAACAGGCAGTTTCTCGCAATCAGTTGCATCGCCACTCTGTGAACTTGTGGCGAGTCTTGGATCACACAGTTTAAGCAGTTCGACTCTCGTGCTTCATTTCACAGTTGACATAATTTGCTCTTCCTCGGAATGAGCTCAAATATTCGTACATTTCCCCAGTAAGGGGCCTGTATAGATGCTAGCACATTATGTGAATTATTATAATTATTATTATTTACACCAATCTTTACAGATACGGCGCCAAAGATAACCATGGATGATCGAAAAAATATAGGTACAAAAACGGGGAAAATAAAACAGTCAACTTCGAGGAGTAGCAATGTTTTTTGTTTGTTCACTGCACGTCAACTAATAGACTAATGTTCATAAATCTATTGAGATCGTAATCGGATTATTAGGTAATCCAGAATGATAAAGATTGTTACTCTCGTAAACAGAAGATCTTTCTTGTTCCACCTATGTTCGGGAAACTGTTCCTTGTGTACTGTTAAATTGTACTTCATTTCATACTACTCATGAGTAACCAAAAGTAATTAAGTTTTTTAACCATCCCGAGATCACGTATCTTCGTGGATTCGATGCTAATGTAGCCACACTGCAGTATTTTGTCACCCAGTGATCGCTCTATAGCCCATCAAATTTTAAGGATCATCGGTTTCAAGTGCAAGCCTTGTTCCCAGTATGCTTTAAATTGCTGTAGCTTTGTACCGCTATTCAAAAGTCAGAACGTAATGGAACAAATGTATTCGTTTGTGATAAGACAACACTGTTTTTAACGTTTTCATTATACTTATGTACTTGTTTCGTCAGCTGTCAGATTTGTTTTATTCGCCGACTCTTTTTCTCACTAATCTCGTTAAAGTCCTCCCGTTTATTCCCGGTGAACTCATCTATGTCGTTTTGGTTGGTCATGCGGGAGCGCACTGGATTTAGCAACTCACGTAGAAAACATTAAAGACCCTGAAAAGATCTGCACCAATATTTTGATGCTCCAAACACAATACGTGTACACTCATCTGGAGTACAGCTGTGAATCAACAGCTAATCCGTTGTTCATCATAATTACAGGAAACATATAAACTGAGCTGCTTTGCACATAGAGGCCGACCGAGGATAATGTCACTGACGAAGTATATTTTTATGTATATATATATATATATATACCAACAAGGAAAACTAGAAAATAAGCTTATGCAATAGACGAACTTCGTCGGCCGATTTCGCAACACCCTTGTGCAACCAATGAATTAAATTTGTTTGTTTGTGATGGGATACACTTTGGTGAACACAACAGGCCTCTCATACTGTTTTATATGAACACCGTGATTATTGTGAAATTAGTGTTCTATCTTGAAAGAGAACCCAGTCCGAATTATCCTCCTAGAGTATGTCATTGGTCAGAACGATATATATATATATATATATATATATATATATATTAAAAGAAGTCTGTTTTGTAACTGTTTATCTCCCTCTACACACATTGTGAAACTTCATCAGCTGAAGAAGACTTACTGACTGATTGCTGAACTCAGGTTCCCGTATGTTGTGTGTGTTTGATTTGGTTACTTTGGACAGATCATGTGACCAAGATTCATCGAAAATAGTATCTTCATTCTGCCGCCGTCACAAATTACGCGTCTTGAAGATAAACAATCATCGTCCATTTCGTCACCCCTATTCCCGCTCCGTATACAAATCTCTCACCACCCCACTCGCCAATCGAATATAATTATTGTTTGCCATAATTGATTGCTTTATCCTTCTTAGCATTGGTTGATTCCAAAACAGTAATTGCGCTCATAATGAGACTGTTACCATTCTGGCCAATTAGAAAACAAATACAACGCATCCGCTTGTGGGAGTTGAACATGCACACACCATCTTTGAGCAATTCAAATGAAAATCTTTGGATAAAAATCGATAACTATTCGTGTGATGTGATGCCTCGGAATGATGAAAACCAGAAGTGGATAAAAATGTGATCCATTGCAACTGTCTGGATCAATCGGGCTTCACATCGTTATTATCATCAAGAAGCATACTATACGTGCCAAATCCTCTCTCTCTCTCTCTCTCTCTCTGTGTGTGTGTGTGCTGATCGAATCGTGTGTTTATATGCCTGCGAGCAGGTATCAGGTCAATCAATTACTGACACACGGGGTGAAATAAATGGTGCATCATGTTTGGTTGGTTCATTTTTCACTCGTGCACGAGTGTAAGCTTTTTTGATTTATCGTGTGATCAGGTTCGGCAGCATACTGGACACCGCGGTTATTTTGCTATTCCGAAGAGAGCGAGAGGCATCGTAAACTGCATTCATCCCACATACTGACTCTTTCTGCCTGGCTCAGGAGGCTTACCCAAGCGCGCACACACACCCACACAGCCGGTGTCAAGGTCTGAGTGAAAATGGTCTACACTAATGTTAGCAACTGTTCTCGTGGTGATTGGGCTCTCTACCACCTGGAGAATTAACAGTGCGATGCTTTTCAAAGCCCAGGGATATAGATCGCCCCGTCCCAAATATTGATCCCGTGATTGAGTTCTATTCTCTAACCCGTAGTCGCATATCGAACAGTCCACTTCAATGATTAGGGCAAGGTAAATGAGACTTACCGATTTCAATTTGACAAATTGTTGTCATCCGAAACGGGTCACGGTAGCCCGCTTTCATCCATAAATGATTTGATTTGGGTGCTTTATATGGTATTTCACCCAACAAGTGGTCTACTGTGCGCTCGTATCTCTTAGTCAACCGATTCGGAAACGGCTCTGTTCCTGCCGTAACTCCTGAAACTGATTGTACATTCGGTCGTGCAATACCCGACTTCCGTACGATCTCCTTTTTTTCTGGTTCTCATAACTGCAACGCACCGAGCTTTGAACTCCGAACCCATCGCGTGGAAGGCGTTTGTGTTACCATTGTGACAATCAGCTCATACCCGGAGTTGAACCGAATTGCCAATTCCTGTTTGTTCCGGGTGTCGTCTTCATTGTTAGTCAACCAGTTCTTTGTTGCCCCATAGAAAGGAAAGGAGACCCGGTTGACTATCTGTTAACTTCAACCGAAAGCCTCCCACCAAACTAGGTCTTCCATCCAGGTTAAGGAGGTAGGCTGGTCAAAAACCTACTGAACTGAATGAATAAGATCGAAACTGGAGTCCAGTACTTCCAAGTGTATGGTTGACAGGATGAACTGAAGATTGTGTGTGAAGAGGTAAGTTCTGAAGAGTGGTCAGTTCAAAACAATATCGATTATCTCACACCACTACTCACAAGTAACTATGAGTCAAAGGTGAATAATTGCGGTGATTGTTTTCGAATGAGTTCATTACATGCGCAAAATTTGAATACCTAGGGCTATTCACTATTCAAACGGGTGGCGTGAACAGAATTCTTTGGGTCAATTTCTACTTTCGGATCCCTCTTTTTATCCGTCCATTTCCATGATGAAACGCCAAACACCCCCTACCCACTAT